AGCTGACGGAGTCCATCTCCACTTGGCTGAAGGACTTCAAGCCTAGCACTCGAGACATTTTGGACAACGCACACTTATTCCTGTAAACGCACGTACGTGCACCCTACATACGTTCACATACACGAGCGCACACTCATCTTTATGAACACACACACGCACACCTTATCCCTATGAGCACTTCGGCAAATCTCGAGATTGACGAAGTTACCACAAGCACCTCACCTCTATGAACGCACACACGCATACCCTACCCTTATGAGCACCTCGACAAATCTTGAGATTGACGAAATCACCACAGGCACCTCGTTGTCGACGGACACGTCGTCTACCACTGAAAGAATAGCGTCGTTAAATCCTGGAATAAATCTACGAAAATACGAACATCCATGTTAAATCGAAGACTTAAACCTGAGTAGACAGGTTCCACCATAAGAAACCCAACCAGCATCTAGCTGAGCTACGCTCAATTTATGAGCGTCGTGGATATTGAGGCTAGGTAACAGGGAAGCTGTTTTTTGTTTGAGACATATCTGTCTAGCTGGTATCCCCAGCATTGCTTTGTATCAACAACTAATGGCTTTCTTGAAAGCTGAGATGATCTCCTTCTAAAAAATGGTAGATCCTAAACCTGATACAGTCAGTGACAATGTTTAGCTATTTGAAAAAGAAACATAATTCAACGCATTGTGTACCGCGCACAGAGTAGCTATTCATTTTTTAGCATAAAAGAGGCATAGTTTATGAAAGAACATCGAGCACATGAGTTGTGAACTTATGATAAGTCAATTTTGTAAAATAAGAAATAAGCAAAGAAGACACTATGAAAAAACCAATAAAAGCGGATTCTTTTGCAGGTTATAACTTTGTAGGAACAATAGACCGGTAAGATAAAAAGTAAACCTAATTCTAATATACATGAACAAGTAACTGGAGTATTGCATTTAGTGGTTTATTTAGTCTTTTTTGCGACGTAGTGGTTTATTTAGTCGCAGATCTATAAATATGCAACGTGCACCCAATCATAAATTGGTACATGATCATGGAATGATTTTCTTGGAGCTGATTCTTGTGGCAATTGATCATCTTCTGCATAGGCTGAATTTGCTGGACGAGACTTAATTTTATTGGACAAGACAAGCTGGGAGATGCGGAAGATGATCAATTGCCATAAGAACCAGCTCCAATAAAATCATTCCATGATCAGGAACCTAAATCAAAGCACGCCATGCTTAATTTCAGTAAATGCACAGCTAAAAAGTATACTCGTGGCATCTTCAGTTTGTAAAGTTGAGGTATTCAGAATATCACAAAATATGAATACAGAAACACAAGCTCCTCCACCTCTTTCAAAAAAAAAAAAGAATACAGAAACACAGGTGCGAGCTCAAGTCAGCATGGGTGACGGCCACCACTGCACCAACGTAATTTTTTGGGTTTTTTCCCTAAAACTTTCACGCGCGAAATAAGTGCTCAATTGCTTCTAGCCTTCTATGGTCTTCAATCACGTACTAACTTCAGTTTAAAAAAATCACGTGCTAATAGCTATTTGTGCGATTTTGCCTTCTGGTTCCAAAGCGAGTGTGCTATTAGGATCGATATTGCACGGCTTTGGTTTCGGTGCCGGATTCCATGGATGACTCGAAGGAGCTATTTTCTAGTGAATAGTAGAGGAGCAATGGTCATTTTTTAGTTTGGAGAAGGAGCTGTAATTTGTGGCTTATCTTCAAGTGCTCCGACTTTCATAGAGGAGCACTTCGAGGAGGAGTCATGACAAACAAACCCTTACCTATAGATGTTTTTATACCACAATTAAAAACCCTTTCCTAGTATGATCATAAGCTTCTATTTAGTTGCATACACTCTCTGTCCTAGAAAGAGTGTGATTCTTACTTTTCGAGAAGTCAAATGTTTTGAACTTTAACCAAATATATATAATAATAATGATATTTATGGTATATAATTAATATCATTAGATTAGTCGCTAAATAAATTTTCACAATAAACTTTTTTTACCACAAAAGACTGTGGGAGAGATCCCCACAGTGATAGATTTTATATTAATAAAAAGGGAGAACGTACTTACAAACATGGATTAACTAAAAGCATCATCTAAACACAAAAGGATGACCACAGGTCATCCTTGAAACGAACAGACTGCAAGAAACATTGATTTTTAAAATTTGCCAACCAGGCCGATGAAGTTGGATCACGCCTCTGAAAAACATTTGCCCTGTTCGCTTGGCTGATAAGCCATGACTGAAAGTATTGTTGGCCGATTTATTGTGAGAGAAAAATATTGTTCGTTGACTGAAAAAGTACGGTTTATAAGCTAAACGAACAGGACGCTTGTCATTGCGCATCTTCCACAACTCTCATGTCTCCATGGTTTCTTTTATTTTACGGTTTCAAGAGTGCCATGTCGGCTTTGCAGATTTATGTTGACGAAAATAATGATGGTTTTTATGACAGGTGACTATGGTCTGCTAGTTGCACCATCAAAGTCAAGTTTGTTTTTGTCTCATGTGGTTTTTGGAACTGTGGTACTTGTCTATTCTATCTGTCCTGTAATATAACGCATGCAAGTATTTAAAATTTTGTACTCAAATACAATGAACTCAATAATGACCCATGTATTCTCTGTTAATCTATCTTAAATTTTCTAGAATACAGACAGATGGCATTGGCACCTACTTTTATGTGCACTTTACAGTTGTGTATGTGATTTACTTATCTATCGTACTCTAAGCCGGTTATTAGTGCAATTTGCATAGCTCATAGCTTCCTGTACAGTGTTTTTGATCTATATGCAATGGCTATTGCGTATTGAGCGTGTTATCCCAGCATAATAAGTTTCCACTTTCCGTTCATTTCCGTTGAAACTCCACCACTATTTATTTTATTTTTTTTATACATGTATGTTCTATTTTCACATATTACTTTTTTTGGATCCGGTCCCGATTTCAGTGATTAAATGTAGAAACGAAACAAGACGAGAATTTTTGTGCTCGTTTCCATCTGTTTTCATCGCCACAAGTAGACCGGGGGTCCTGCACCACCGAATCGGATTCATCGTGATAAGGCGCGCAGCCGCATGGCGTGCACTCGTGCCGATCTCAGCCTGTTCGTTTGGCTTGTGCTTGTTGTATATGATCGTAAATTTTTAGTCGGAATAGTATTTTTTCTCACATAAATCAGCCAGCAGTATTTCTTCACGAACCAGCAACGATACGAACCAGCCAACCGAATTCCTGTGGGGGTATGGCAAGCCGGCCGTGCGTTTGCCCCGATCCGTCTCGAGTCCGACTCGTTGCCGTGTCACGTTACCGACCGAGTCCCAAGAGGCTCCAGAGTTCAACAACAACAAGCACACGCGAAGCCCAACCCTGATTCCCGGAAGCGGGTACTATACAAGGGAAGCTAGCCGCCCGCCAGCAATGACGGTCGCGAGGGTCCACGAGCGGAAAATCCCGAGCAATCCCGGCATGTCGTCGACCAAGCACCACCGCGTCATAGGACGACGACGGCGAGGGTGGGCGCATCGCCGGCGCCATCCATCGTCGCGCGCACGGGCGACCTCACGACGTCGTCCACTGCGCCGCCACGTACAAGCCCATATCCGTCGCGCCGTCCTCGACGATCTGGACTTCAGCCTCTTTCAGGTGTGTTTGCACGAGACGGATTTGTCAAAACCATGGAGCCTTTCTAATAATTTTGTAGTGCCTATATTGTTTCTTTTTCGAATTTGTAGTACCTATGTTATCTGTGTAGTGTTTGGTTGGGTGAAAAATTTTAATCGGCTGGGTTTAATACTTAGGTGCTGTTTGGTTATAGAATTGCAACGTAAAGGGAATGAAATTAAAGCTGTGGATGTTACCGCAAGGGAATGGAAATGAACTAATTTATTTTCATTTGCGTTACAGTTGCAAGAACCAAACAGCACCTTAGATGTACAGAGTATTTGTAAAAAAAAACTTGTCACATATGATTTTGTAACATAGTTGTCGCCTATTTATTTGATGTATATCTTTGATTAGTAATTTCCACAGAATATATTATTAACATCTTTTAAATTGTATTTAGTTTTGCAGGTATTTTGCAATACTACATATACAATTTAAATGTTCTCAAACTACGTAATTTAAAAATCATTTATGTCTGTTAGTCTTTAAGTTATATAACTAAATCTTGTACCCCCAAAAATGTTTTTTTATGAGTAGAGGGACAATATCCGATGGTATATATGAAACATGTTTATTTGTGAATAAATTATCAGCTGTTAATTAGTATATTCCCTTCGCACAAACATAAGGGGATATTAGGATTAATAAAATTTACCACATGTTTCCATTAATTTCATCATTACTATTAAACACTTTGATTAGACTCTTTTTCTTCCGAAGAGATTAATCAGCAGTATGTGAGTCTTTATATATCCTCTTATTATATGTCCTTATTAAAAATTTCAAAATTATTTAGATTTGAGCACAACTAATTTCGAACAGGGACGGGATGAGATCGAGTTCTTCTACCTCCACTCGACGCGAGCACGGAGGCCAGGACCTCGCGCGTGCATATATATTCTGCGACGGCGGCCGCTAAACCCGTATAAAAGCTCGGCGGGGTTACAGCTTCGACAAGGCATCCAGAGGCAGCAGCCATGTCCTCAGCGAAACGGCGCCGACGCGTCGGCACATGCCGCCACGGGACGACGACGGTTGTCGACGCACATGCGGGCTTACAGCTTCGACAAGCCATCCAGAGGCAGCAGCCATGTCCTCGGCGAAACGGCGCCGACGCGTCGGCACATGCCGCCACGGGACGACGACGGGCGTCGACGCACATGCGGGCTTACAGCTTCGACAAGCCATCCAGAGGCAGCAGCCATGTCCTCGGCGAAACGGCGCCGACGCGTCGGCACATGCCGCCACAGGACGACGACGGGCGTCGATTCAGAGCCGCCGCACATCCCCGACGATATCCTCATCGAGATCTTCGTGCGCTCAGACGCCAAAACCATCGTCCGCGCCACCGGCGGCGGTGGCGGCGGCTTCGACCCTGACCTCCTCCTCGGCGCTTCCTGCATGCAAGCGCTCATGGTCTCGCGATGCTTTCTTCCAGGAGCAACGCCTTCCCTTCACCTTCGAAACCGAATGTCTGGGCTGGCAGGAGCCCATGGTCTCGCGCGGCTGTCTCGTCGTCCTCCACCGACGCCATGCCATCTCCGCTGAGCTACGCGTCATCAACACCCTTACCGTCCGCGTGTCCCGCGTCCGTTCCCCTGGCATCTCTGCTATGTACCCACGAACCTTGCTCGCCGTCGGCGACGCCGGCCGCTCATTCCAGATCCTCATCGCCGGCACGAACTTGGTGACGAGGATCTTCTCGTCGGAGCGCGGAGATTGGGGCCACGTCGTCCACACCCGCCTCCCGCCCAACTTCATCAGCACCCTCCCGAACCGTTGCTCCCCGCCGCTTGTCCTCGGAGGCACCACCGTCCACTGGCTGTGCAGAGAACAGTGCATCGTCGCCCTGGACATCAGCACGGCGAGCGCCACGGTCATCGAGCTGCCACCCCTATGCTTCAGCCAGGTGGCGAGGTGCCCCAAACACACGGACAAGGGGCTCCTGGCTTCCTCAGCGGATGGAAGACTGAGCCTGCTTGTCTCCAGGTCAGGTGGCATAAGCATGTGGTCGCTGTCGGCGTCCGCGCCGGCGGCGAGGTGGACCCTGCAGGTGGTGGTCCAGAGGCACGCCATCGCCAGGCAGCGTCCGGGTTGCACCATCCGGTTGTTGCGGTTCGGCGAGCGGAGCGGCGCCGTGATGCTGCAGGTGGGGGGAATGGGGCTTGTCCAGATCGACCTAGGATCGAGGGAGGCACGCGTCCTCAGCGACGAGTTCAAGGAAATCGGCAACGAGGGGGAATGGGGCTTGTCCAGATCGACTCCGGGCTGCAGCTGTGCTTGCATGAGACAGACCAACCCACTCTGTTCGAAAGCGTAATCAAGAACATGAAACATTTCTGATCGTGAGCTTGTAGCTATCTGATTCAGCATCATAAGGGCTGGTTCGGTTACTTATGAACGAGTGCCTCGAACCATTCGCAGTCGGAATGGTTCACTAATTTATATAATGTTAATAAGCTAGAAAAGTTTCTAGCTCCGTTCTATCTGATTCAGCATCTCAAGGGCTCGTTTGGTTATTTAGGAACGAGTGCCTCGAACGATTTTCAGTTGAAATGGTTCGCTAATTTGTATAGTGTTGATAAGCTGGAATAGTTCCTAGTTCCATTCCATGCTAACCGAACGAACCGAAACAAGTGTCGATTCCTCTAAACAAGTGTCGGTTCCATAATTGTTTGTGCAACTCATTGAGAACATTTGTGAAAAGGCTGCACGACTAATATTTTATTGGTGTAAAAAAACAATTGCAACCTCGATAATGATACATACCAGACGTCCGAACAGACGGACGCCTCCGTCCGCTCATTTTTGAACTCGCTCATTCCTCCCGCGCCCCTTCCCCCACCGTGGCATCTCCACATCCGCCGCACCCACGCCTCAACGCTCCTCCCCCCTGCGCCACGCTGCCTCCGTCTCCCTCCTCCTGCTCCGGCGCGGCGAGGTCCCCGGCACGAGCATGAGCTCTGATCCACGCGGCCAACCCTGGCGACCCCCCTTCCTCTTCTCTGGCCGGCCACCCCGGCCTCAACTCTGTGTGGGGACGGGCGCGACCCCGGTGGCGGCCCTGACGCGGCGCACGGCCCTGCTTCAGCACGGGACACACAGCTCTAGCATGGGCGGGCGGCGCAGCCTCCGCCCTCCCCTGTGTTCCTCGACCCTTGGTGGCTCCCCCCCTTCCGTGTCCTCCTCCCCCAACCCACAGCGCCCCTTCCCCCACCGGGAGCCCCGATGCCCGCAGATCTAGCGGCCATGGCACTCCCCGTGCCAGGCTCTCTCTCTCCCCTATGTTGCAATTATATGTTTCAATTATTTTAAGTGTTATGTATGTTGTATTTGTTTCATATGAATGTTGCAAAAGTAGATCGGGGGATGTTGCACACGTTGCAATTGTTTCAAAGGCATATTATAAGAGTATGTTTTCAGTATTTCAAATGTTTCAGTGGTATGTTTTATCTGTGTTTTCCGGACACATGTTACAATTGTGTTTATCTGGATGTTCCATATGTTCCACACATATGTTGCATGTGTTTTATTTGGATGTTGCGTATGGTTGCAATGGTTTTCAAGTGTATTTTATGTGTGTGTTTTAAGTGTTTCATAAGCATGTTATAAGTATTTTAACTGCCTTCAGACGTATGTTGCAACCGTTGTATTTGAATATTTTGAAAGTAGATTGGATGTTGCATCTCTCTTCCTTCCACTTTTTTGCTGTATCGTCTGAGCCAGTGCAGCACCGCAGCTCTGGAGAATGCAGCGTCTTGGTTAGCACGTCGATCACTACATGCTACATAATCAATCACTTCGTTGGTTCTCAAGTCTCACAGAGCGACAAAACAAGCAGCCGATAGTACTCTCAGATACTACCATGTAGTAATTCATAATTATTTTTTATTTTTACTCATAGTTAAATTACCATTCTTCGACGGTCTCAGAAAAATGTTTAAAAATGTATCTAGCGCATACCTGTGAGCTTACATAGTCTATATTAGACTTTTGGTAGCAAATTGTTAATGTACAATTTATTTTATTGTCATAATTACTGAGATAATTGGTGATATCTCCATTTCCTTGCTCCATGACTGGTGGTCTGTCCGGCTCCAGCTCTGTCTCCTTCAAGCATCGTAACAAGTAACCATTTTTACCTTTTTTCTTAAAATGAATAGGAGCTGGTAAAACCATACTTTTTATTTTATATCAGTAGTTGATATGTTTATATGAACTTGTTCTTCATTCTTATGTTCGTCCAGGCTCTACAAAATTTCTGGGTTCGCCGCTGTGATGGGCGCGGGAGCTGCATGCGTCGGGCAAGTTAAGGAGCTCCGTACGGACGGACGCAGCCTCCGGAGTGAGATGGGCACCAGGCGGAGGAGGCTGCGTACGTCGGAATCAGATCGTCTAATGTTGCCTCCTAAACTTTTTTCTACAGTTGCGACAAATCCAACCACTCGTACGTATCGGACGGTGAGCAGAGTATATGCGCTGCCCTCCTCTCCACGCTGGGCTTTGGCCCAACGAGGGCACGACCTGTTTCAGTAGAACACAGCCACGACGTTCCTTTTTTTGGCGCGAGTAGTCGCTGTTTTGGCGCTGTTCTTCTTGTTTTTGGCGCGAGTGCAGTCGGGCGGACGTATCTGGGTGCCGCTCGGGTTCCATGCGACGGTGATCGACATCGGCTGGTGTTGCTCGGTCTCTCACTCGGGTTCCATGCGACGATGATCGACATCTCCTGGTGGTGCTCGGTCTCCACCGATATACAGGTCCCAAAAATCTCTGCACTCACGTCCTGTCTTCTGTATCCTGGTGCTACTAGCTAATTTGATTCTCGTGTCCTCTCTCATCTTATTGTGCTGAAATGATAGATTTAGAAAATCTGGGATAGAACTGCATCAAAATAAAATCAATATGTTTAAGATGGAAGGTTGAAGGAAACAAAATCTGAGATCTACGATGGAAGAAAATGGGTATGTAATGCCACTACTGCTCCCTTTTGTCCATCCGATTAGATGATCAGTTCACCTTCACCACCAAATCAAATATTTATTTGAACAGCATAAATAATATTATGTTCATCATTATTTGTTTATTGTAGGGAGGGTTTGCTTCCTAGTCTGTTACCTCAAGTTGGCATGGAGTTTCGTACTGTAGATGAGGCTTGGATGTTTTGGATTAGCTATGGGGGTCAAAAAGGCTTTGAGGTTAGAAAAAGGTACACAAACAAAAGAAAGTCAGATGGAAAGATTAGTTCCTGCAAATATGTTTGTGCAAATGAGGGTCACATGTTGCCAGATAAAAGGGATCATATAACGAAGTGTCCAAGAGCTGAAACTAGAACCAATTGTGCAGTTCGCATGGTGTAAGGAAAATGGACCCTTGGCCCATTTACTTTTGATTTTGGTGTTTGATGACCAACACAACCAAATTGGACTAATGAATTTATAAGTGTTTATTTTGTAGTTCAATAGGATGCAAGACGTGACTTAGACGAAGGCGACGTGGTGATCCGATGATCAACACTTTAAGAAAGACCTTAGAAGCACAAGAGAAGACCCAAGATATCAAGCAAAGTCCAAGCACGAAGATTGGAACCAAGCCGTACGCAAGATCGCGAAAAAATGAGCTCACTGTAGTGACCGAATGTAGGACCGGACGCTGGACAAGCAACCGGACACTGCGACCGGACGCTGGGCAAGTGGCTCGGCAGACAGGCGATCGGATCCCAGACCGGACGCTGGCGGCAACCGACCGGACGTAGGACAGCAGCGTCCGATCGATTACAGTAAGGTTCCTGAGCGGCAAATCTGCGACCGGACGTGTCCGGTGGCAGGAGACCGGACGCTGGCTAGCGTCCGATCAGTACATTGCTGGCTCAACGGTCAGGACGATTCAGCGTCCGGTCAGTAGCAGTTTCACGGGAATTTGACCCCAACGGCTACTTTCTCAGTGGGGCTTATAAATACAACCCCCAACCGGCCATTTGAGAAGTGTGGAGCTGAGGAAACATACCAAGGGTGTTGATACACCATTTTAGTGATCTCCATATGCATAGTGCTTAGTATTTATTAGGTGATTAGCATAAGTGCTTTGCGAAGTGCTTAGGTTGATTAGACCACCGCTTATGCGCTTGCTCTAGGTTTATGCCTAGTGTTTAGTGAGGTTTGCATACCTCTTGCCACCCCGTGCTTACGAGCACAAGTGTTGTACATCGGAGGTGCTTGAAGTCATGCGAGATCACACCAATCACGTTTGTGGTGTGGCCACCACCGTGTACCGGAGGAAACAAGGCCCGCGACGTTTCGGCCGGAAGCTTGATAGTGAAGACGGCGGGAGCATCCGGGAGAGGCTTACCGGAAGGCACGTCGGAGACCCACTTGCGCATGGGGAAGGCACGAGGCTATCCATGGAGTTACCCGACCGGGAGCTTGGCCCTTGCGAGGGATTCCTTGTGAGGGGCTCCAACGAGGACTAGGGGGAAGCTTGCACGCTTCTCGATACCTCGATAAAAATACCAGAGTCATCGACGGAGTTTGCATATCTCTACCTCGTTCTTTAGCTTCCGCACTTACATTGATTACATTACTTCTATTGCGGTAGAGATAGCAACACATTAGCAAAACCGTAGTTGCACATTTAGATAGTTTATCTTTTGCATAGGATTTGCTAAGGTTAGCAAAAGAGGCCATAGTTTAGAGTTAGATTTTTTAAGTTGCCTAATTTACCCCCCCCCCTCTTAGGCATCACAGTCCCTTCAATTGGTATCATAGCCGGTTGGCTCAAATTTGGACCTTTGGCTTAACCTCCTTTGAGCCGACGCTATTTAGAGTGGCTGGGATGGATACCGCTAGGCCTCCGCACTTTGATGGCACTAACTTCCCGTACTACAAAGCTAGAATGGCTTGCCACCTTGAGGCGGTTGATTTGGGTGTATGGAGAGTCACTCATGACGGGATGAAACCCATTAAGAATTCCAAAAAACCCACAAAGAGTGATGAAAAAGAAATGCATTTCAATACTAGAGCTAAAAATTGCTTGTTTGAATCATTAAGTATGGATGTTTTTAACCAAGTGTTCACTTTAAA